TTGCACTATAAAGAAGACAAATCATTAAAGTTTAGAACAGAAGTGGGCCACTTCTTGTCCTTACAATCTAATAGTGTTGATGTGTGAGTAAGGGCCTTTGCAGACTGCCAGAAATAGTGCAAATTGAGTTCACTTTAAGGGTTAGGGTTAGTGCTAGGGAATCATGGGATTTTTTTTCCCCTGAGACATATAGCCTTCTCTGTCAGAGAGCTCTGGTGCCACAATAAAATACAGTTCCCATGATTCCCTAACCCTAACCCTTAAAGTGGACTCAATTTGCACTATTTCTAGCAGTCTGCAAAGGCCCTAAGTCTCTTTGAACAAGGTGCTGTTTACTTCTGGGTGAACATGCACAGGCTATAGTTGTATTCCTTAGGTCACTTAGGAACAAGGTCAAGAAAATGTATGAAAAAACGTAAGTTAGCTGTTACCTTTAGATACGCAGCATTTAATAGAAGAAAGAGAGATGGATAATAGCAGCAAAGGCTGTAGTAACAGAAGAAATGCAAATGTCTGAGTTTTTTCTTTCCTGCCAAAAGTTTGCTAGGGGAGCAGCATGTGCCAGTAGGAGTCACTCTAGGCTTCTTAACAAAAATGTTCAAGGAATTACCAAAGGCACCCTTGCAACTTAATACACTATTTTAATTGTAGGTAACAGTCCCATGTAAATACCAGGCTCTGGCTAATACCAATTTAAAAAAAAAAATACAAAAAATACTGTTATTAGCTTGTCCTTTGATTTTTGTTAATCTATTCTTCTTGGTTAAAGGACAATTCAAATGCGATGAGTCTCAGTTTTGAAAGGACAACTATCTGACATTATAGATTATAAAATAAAATTGTTAGGCAAAACTGGTATTATAGTGTAAGCCTGAAAACTACAGTTAAATTATATTGTACAGATATACGACTGACATAATTTGAATATAATTGTCACATGTACAGCTAATGCCAAGTCTTAAAGGAGGTGGATGACACTAATCATACTGGTATGCTAATTATCTAATTGTTTACTCTTAATGTAATACTGTCTATCAGTATATTCTTGAAAATCTTAATATCGTTTTGAGATAGGGATTTGAGAATGAATTGTATTTTGTATGTGTATATATGTAGCATATCCCTTTTTCTTGAGTTTCATGTTTATGTTTAGCTCTGCTCTGTATTGAGCAACAGCAGACTTTTAAAAAGTTCATAGTCACAAGTCTGTGGATTGCTAATTTGGGACAAATATAAAATATTCTTGTTGCATATATCCATTATTTCACATTTTAATTTAGTAGAACTATCTATCTTACTTGCCCTCACAATAACCATGGGCCAAGTTATTATTAACAATTTAGAGTTGGGGAAAAGTCTGTTGATCATGAATACCCAGCTGTTGAAAGATTTCAGTGCAGGTTTTAAGTGCCCATCTTCGGTATTTTTTATTCATGCATCTTTTCACTCCTTTTATTTATTTATTACACTTATATTTCAGCCCTCCTCTAAGTGCTCAGGGTAGTGTTTAAGTGCTAATACTATCCTCTCTGGGATTTATTGCTGATTAAAAATGTGTGTAGAAACAGGCTGTCACTGTTATAAGAAGCCTGTAAGGAAGATCACAAGAAGAGACCATGAAGAACACAAGCTCATGTGAGCTTCATGAACAATTTTTTTCTGGGGTCTTTGGATCACATAGGATGGCTTAATTACTGTCCTTTGGGACTTAATAACATTATTAAATAAAGATACCTTCAGATTCAAAATCAGAGTTTTGCAAAATGTAAAATTTGTGTCCGTTCTAGCAATTGAGCAACATATCCAGACAAAAGATGTATAAAACACTCTATATATTTAAGCAATGTCTTATGGTTGGCCTATTATTAAAACCACTGAACAACTTGCAGAAGCCTAGGGTAAACTGTTACGTGCAAACTAATATTAGAAAATTATCATATAGTTCAGCTAGGCAGTTATCTGCCATATATAGAAGAGTGTTTGTGTTTGACAGAAATGTTTTAGGTGACAAAAACAGCCCTACACATCCCTGCAATAAGGTGGTTCATGAATCCTCCAATACAAGTAGAAATATCTCTGCTTTTCACCTAAAGCCAGGCCATTTGGTTAGTTAGCTGGCCCAAGAAAGATTTGGTTGGTCTCTCTTTGATAGTAACTTCTTTTCTTCAGAGAACTTTGGAGGATCTGTGTCTTTGACAGTATTTCTCCTATTCTTTTTTTTAAAATATAAATTGGATTATTTTATGGTTATGTTGTAAACTACATTGGATGACGTTGGAGGCAAAAATAATGGGACCCACCTACTATATGTATATGTGTGCATTTATGTTTACCCCCAAGCCAGGAGACTCAGTTTTCCTTTTCCATTTAAAGCCATCCAGTGCTGTCAAACTAAACCCAGCAATGTGATTTGAGAGATGTTTTCTACTGGAAATAAAATAGAACCCCTCCCACCCCCCAAATTATTGCTCATTTTAAAAGCACAAAGACCTTCTTGATTACATAGGGGGGTTGCAGACTGCCAGAAATAGTGCAAATTGAGTCCACTTTTAGGGTTAGGGTTAGTGCTAGGGAATCATGGGAATTGTTTTTTTCCCTGAGACATCGAGCCTTCTCTGTCAGAGAGCTCTGGTGCCACAATAAAATACAGTTCCCATGATTCCCTAACCCTAACCCTAAAAGTGGATTCAATTTGCACTATTTTTGGCAGTCTGCAACCCCCCATAGTCACATGGAGCAACAGGTTGCATGTATATGGGACAGGAATAAACCAGAATGGTCCCTGAGAATTCCTCTCCACCAGCCTCAGGGTTATTAATATGACCTTGGATTTATCTGAGAAATTGTGTGCATGAAGGAGGGATTTGGGAAGACAATTGCCCTTCTGCATTAAAGGCTAGGTCTGCTCTGCATAACTGCCATGGCTCAATCCTGTGGAATCCTAGGATTTGTAGTTGCGGACCAGTGCCCTCTGACAAAGAAGGCTGAGTATCTCACAAAACTACAAATCCCAGGATTCCATAGCACTGAGAGGTGGCAGTGAAAGCCATGTCCAGCTGCATTATTTCTGCAGTGCAGATGCAACCAATGTTGATAAGGACTCTGTCAAGTTCCAGGCCTTCTGTTATGTGTATGTGCCTTCAAGTTGCTTGTCTATGGCAAATCCATAAATTTCATAAAGTTTTCTAAGAATCCTCAGAGGTGGCTTTGCTAGTTCCTTCCTCTGAAATATAGCCTGCAAAACCTGGTATTCCTTGGCGGTCTCCCATTCAAGTACTAACCAGGGCTGACCACACTTAGCTTCCAAGATCTGACACGATCTGGTGCCTTTATGGTGTTGAGGCTCCTAGTAGTTCTATTCCAAGCGGTCAAATCCCAGGGTTTGGAAGCTGGCACTTTTTGCATTTTTCACCACCAGTGTGGGCAAGCATGGTGTAGTGGTTTGTGTGTTGGACTATGACTCTGGAGACCAGGGTTCAATTCCCTGCTTGGCTTTAAAACCCACTGGGTGACCTTGGGCACATCACACACTCTCAGCCTCACAGGATGACCATGGCAACCCCCCTCTGAAGAAACTTGGCAAGAAACCCCTATGATAGGGTTGCCATAAGTCAGGAACTACTTGAAGGCACGCAACAACACCTGGATGTGCTGGAAAGGATGTGTTTGTGCCTATGGCTGTTGTGAACAGTGGGTGGAAGAATTCAGAGACATGTTTGTCTGGAAAATTAGTATGCAATCCAAAGATCTTGCAGAACATTTAAGTGAAAGATAGAAGTTGGTAGCATGAGCTTTCCTAGACGAGCCTATTTCCTCAGATGCATGGAGTGGAATGGAAATCTCAGGTGGAAAGCACGCCTTGAACCTTGTACACCTTTTCTACGGTTATTTTTCCCCAATGTTCCCTCACATGGCAAAAGAGCTGCAGGACCAAGGTCAGGTTCATCTCCAGCCAAAGGACTTTTTTTTCCCTTCAAGAGGAAGTTGCTTCCTGCTCTCTCTTCACAAACACACACACACACACTACAAGCACAATGCAAGCTCTATCCAAAGCTGGGCCTTTTCTTCTGGGAAGTAAACTCCAGGCCTGTGTAGTGTAGGGCTTTGATTGTTGGACTACGACTCTGGAGACCAGGGTTTGAAATAGAGAAGGGCAAGTC